CGTTGCCTTCGAGGCGCGGCCTGGCCAAGCGGTCGGCGGGATGGGCGAGAGCCCCAAAGCAGAGTAACAGGTCCGAGTAATCGTCCGCCTTAGTGCCCGAAGCGGCGGCAATGATCCAATCCCCAGCGACGCTCGCTCACTGATCGGTCACATGAGGGCAAGCCCAAAGGCGGTGGTCCAGAGGGCCAGGCGCACCACAGTGGATACACTTAGGGCTGACCTGGTAGCCGCGAGCCAGAGCGCGGTCTGGGGCCCAGATGGCGTTGCAAGCCGACGCCCTGACCAGACCGCGCTCACTCGGAGAAAAAGCGCTGGACGAAGGCGCCGCTCTAGGCACGTCTGAACCCCCCCCCCCCCCCCTAGAATTCCACATGCCCCCGAGGTCTCTATCGAGCGATGTCGCCATCCCATCTCTACAGAGACTCGCCAGCAAGACAGGGGAGGTCACGCCCGTGGGAAAAAGATAGCCACGATCATCGACGATGGTCAAGTAGTTGGTCACGTGCCAACCTAACCTAACCAGGCAAAGCCTAAGAGCGGAAATAGGACCGCTGGCGAGACCCCACGTGAGTTTGTCCTGGCCCCAGACCGCGGCCCAAGTGTCACGCAGCTCGTTGCGGGGAACAGAATGCTCAAAGGTTCTAGTCTGGGCAAGCCACGATGCTTTGCCTCACCTGAGAACTGGCGCGCAAGCAGCCCTCCAGGTGGGGCCATCAGCAAGAATACTGCACGTAGTGCGGCTGCGTCCCTGAGGAAAGGGCCGAACAGTAGAGAAAGCCTGTCTCCTCATCACTAACAGGTCGTTGTCAGAACCCCCCGCAGTCCCAGCTCCATAAGAGCCGCCAGCCAGGGGGGGTCAGCCGAGAAAAACCACGGAGGCTCTTTCGCCCCAGGACCCCCGAAAGCTTCCTGAGCATTTTGGCCCTGCGGTATAAGGCCGCCAGTCTCGACTTGAGCTTGCTGGCCCTACCAGCAGCGCGGGTGGACTTGCCAGCGGTGTAGTCCACGCCTAAAGTGGCTGTGGAATCATCTACTCCCCCAGCCAGGCTACCAAGCTGCTTGCCCACTTCTATAAGGCGACCGAACGGCAGGGGGAGACCGTGCAAACCTTAGACAGAGCGATGCTGCAACCCATCATCACCGTGACAGCCGCACGCAGGGCCTGCGTAGTCGCAACGCTCGCAGAGATAACGCGGTGGCGAGAGCCAGAAACAGACATACCAAAACCGTCTATATAAATGTCCCAGTCCCATCTAGGTTGCAGCGGAATCGAATCAAACGCGCCAAGACCATACACCCGAATGAAGGTGGTGGCCATGCTACAAGCAGCCATCACTCCTTCATCAACAAAGAAGGGCTCATCACGATGCCGCCCAAAAACAAGAACCGACCGCAGCGGAAGGCAAATATGCAAAGGCGCGCAACGGGCTGCGAGGAGCATGTCAAGGTCGATGGTTTCATAGCAGTTAAGCATGTCAAAGAAAACACTGCACGACACGTCTTCAGTCGCGGTTCCGTGCTCAGCGCGGACCGACTGTCTCCAGACAGCGTCCGAGACACCCCGATCCCCGCCAGCAACCCCTTACCGTCGGGGGTGTTTTCTAGCTCCCAAGTACGGGCGCGGGGGCGCCGAAGCCCCCCCCCCACACCCTATACCCGGAGCAAAACACCCCAATCGGCCTGTAGCCACCGGCGGGCTTCGACAGAAGAGCAAGCAGAACGGCCGAGATCTGCTCAGGCAACTTACCATTCGCATCCATAACTTCAAAAATAGTGGCGAGCGCGTCTGGCGCGTCATCACACAAGTACTGATAGTTCCTGCAATTGAAGCCATCGTAGGCGACAACAGATCCATTTGTATTTCTAAGAAACGGCCCTGATTTCATCGGCCGAGACAGGGGGGGGTCCAGAGACGGGGGGCCTCTGGCTTCAGAAGGCCGCCAATTCAAAGCCTTCCGACGCCCGAATGGCGAGGTGATCGGAAACAACAGCTCCATCCGCCGAGAGGGTCGTCGTGGGTGGTGGGGTCCCTTGTACACAAATGAACGCGCTTAGCCCCCATCACCCAAACCTTCGGTGATCCAGGCTTTCCTACTCTGTCGCAACCTCTTGTTGGCGGCGGTGTGAGCATTGCTCACAGCTTCGTCAAGCCTGGCACACAAATCCTCGCCCTTGAACGAGCCACCGAAAAATTTAAGCGAGGATGGGCCACGATGCGCGCAACCTCGGCGAAGAGAGGCTGGATACCAGCAGAAATCTGAATGTGCGCGGAAGGCTCCTGAAGCGTCTTCGTCAACGCCTCGACCTGCGCGCCTTCACATTGGTTCGAGTCCAGAAGAGAAACTAAGGCACGATATTGGACGCTGAGCCACCGCACTGCGTGGTGCTCAGGATCTCGAATAGCGCGATCACGTCCAACAAGCTTCTTCCAAACCAGCTGGGAGCCCTTGGACCTCGAGCCAAGGACAGGAAGAGACTGGCCTAACATTGGAACGAGTTCAAACTCAGCCTTGTCAGCCCAGGCAGCATAACAAGGCGAGAGCAGCGACGATGCGCCCCTGGCGTCACCTGGAGCAACGCAGTGGGAGGCCGTGTAAGTAAGCTCTCGAACGTGGGACCAATCGCGAGGACAAGGTCGAGGACCAAAAACCGCAGTGGCAGGAAGAGGAGGAGGCTTCCTGAAACTGACACCTTTAACCTCCCGAAAGACGCATGGATAACCACCTGAACAGGCCTGCGTGGGCTCAACGTGGCGCCCTGGATGACCTCGCAGCTCTTCACGTTTTTTTGTTCCCCAAAACTCCCGAAAAAAATTGTCCAGGGACGACGGGGGGCCCTCGCCAAAGTGAGCATGGCCGTCCGCCACCACTTGTAAACCGATCAACTTCTCAACAAACCTCGAGCTGGCCAGAGTCCCTGGGTCCATGTTGAAATCGCACCCGGCTGCTGCAAAAAAGGTCTTCAATCTGGAACGTCTGCACCATAAAGGTACCGACAGTCACAGGTATTCCCAGCTTTCTCTTATTTTGCCATGTGACAACAGTGGCTGTTTCATGTTGGTCCTGTTTGTCTTGGTTTCCTCTCTAGCTTGCCTGGGCTCATGGTGCCGCCACTGCAGACCCCCCCGACATGGAAACCTGCTTGCAAAGCCGCCACAACAATATTCCCTTTGTAAAGGCTGTCGCACAAGGACTCTCTAAGTGAGGAGTCCACTGCAGATCCCCCTCACTTGAAATCCTTGTGCAAGGTCGCCACACAAGGAATCCTGTTGTAAAGGCTGCTACACAAGGAAATTGAGTATGGAATGTCTGCACAATAAAAGTACCGACAGTTACAAATATGCCTAGTTTTTCCGATCTCCCCATGTGAAAACGCTGGTGCGTTCTTGTTGTTCCGTTTTTCCTGGTTTCCTCTCTATCTTTCCCGGGCTCAAGGTGCCGCCACTGCAAATCCCCCCCACACTTAAAACCCTTTTGTAAAACCGCCACAACACGAATCCCTTTGTAAAACGGATTCTAAGTGTGGGGCGTTTCCATGAGAGAAATGCAGGAGAGCTGGGAGAACGATGAGAAGGATACAAAGAAGTTCATGAACAATCAAAGGGTGAATTACCACATCAGGGGGTTGGCGATACTTGTATAACAAAGAAGCGATGGTTGCAATCGCACAAACGAAGGGTCATGGGATCACGATGATGATGATCATGCTGATTATGATGCAGACGACGATGATGTTGATAACGATGGTGGTGATGATAATGATGATTCGGATGCAGGCGATGACGATGATGCTGATAATGATGATGAAGCTGCTGATCATGACAATGTTAGTGAGGATGGTGATGATGCTTATGATGCAGATGATGATGAGGATGAGGATGATGATGATGATGATGATGATGATGATGATGATGATGAGGATGATGATGATGATGATGATGATGATGATGATGATGATGATGATGGTGATGATGACGATGATGATGAGGATGCGCAAGCTGCGAGACAGGAGGGCCCCAGTCCATCCTTGCCAGTGTCTCTAGCTGCGTCCCGCCGCAGCGACGAGAACCCGACAAAAAAGCGCAGCAGCTGCCGACGCGAAGACGTCCACGTCGTCGTTGCAGCGCACCCGCGGCTCTCCCCTACCACTGCCCAGGGGCGGAAGCAGGCCCCCGAAACGGTGGGGCGCCACGGCCCAGGCTCCGACCCTGCTCTGATGCACCCAAGGGGGGATCCCGGGGGGCTCGCCGATCAGGCCCCGAGGCCCCCCCGGCCGCCTCCAGAACCGCCGCACAGACGGCGGCTCACCTTGGGAGCCTGCGGCCGTCGGAGCGAGCTGAGGCTGGAGCCTCTGACACGACGGCCTCATGGCCTCTGGGCATCCAGCGGCCGAGCGAGTTTCGAGGGGGACGAAAGGGGGAAGGCGGGGGGGAAGAGGTGGGGAGGAAGGAGCCATGCTGCCCATTTGTGGGTGGCGAGGGGTTGCGAGCACAAGAGGACCGTCACCCCCACAGGCGCAGGGGCTGACTCCTTATGCGTGAGGACGCCTGGCCTGGACCCTCACGAGTGTCTGTGGTCACTATGGGCCACCAATTTGATATTCCAGGTGCGCGCCAATCTCAAGTGACATCAACAAGCTTTCCTGGACAGTCCAGGGAATCCATGCCGCAAGGTTCCAGCGCTCTGGAAGGCGGAAAGAGCTCGCCGTACAAGTAAGCGCCCACTAGAGCGTGACTAGAAATGATACGCGTCTCTCGGACATGGACACTTCACATCGTCTCGAATCCGCCCCGAATGACGCCCGCGCTCTCCCAGCCGCGCCCCCCTCCCGCTCTTCCCCACGGCCGGGTTCTGGGCCCTGCCGGGCCCGCCCAGCGAGAAGCGGGCGGGGAAGGATGCGCGACAACCATCTGCTGTTCTATTTCTAGACACGAAACCTGACAAGGGTATAAACGCCTTGCTTCGACCATCCTTTTCGCGGTGGTATACTTCCGACGGGGCCTGGCTGCTGTCGAAAGGGTAGCAGCCCTCCAGCATCATGTACAGCAGCGCCCCGAGGCTCCAGAGGTCAGCCTCGCATGGCTGGCTGCCCGAGTTTCCGCCGATCCGGCGTGGTATGCTTCACATCGGACAGGGTCACATACACACACACACTTTTCCTTCGCGGCAGAAGCAAGAGCGGAACACGATAAGAGTGGTTACCACAGAACGTGTGCCGATGGCGTGTCAGATCGACGAGCGGGTGACAGAAGCAAGTAAAGATCAGCCAGCGTTGACTCCAAATAGATAGGAGGACAGGAGGAGGACGAGAGGAGGATGGGAGGAGGACGTAAGGAGGACGGGAGCAAGACGGGAGGAGGACGGGAGGAGCAAAATCAAGCAAGCGCAAGCAAGCAAGCGGAAGCAAGCAAGCGCAAGCGAGCAATAACAAGCAAGCAAGAGCCAGCGATCATGTGCAAGCAAGCAAGGTCAAGCAAGAGCAAGCAAGAGCAAGCAAGCGAGAGCAAGCACGCAAGACCAAGCAAGCAAGTGCCACTGGAAAAAGGGGGGGTGCAAGTGCCCGACGCAGGCGCCCGACAGCCAATCCGCGCGTTCCTAAGCGGGGTGGGCTATCGATCCCCTATCGGCAAAAAATGGGCGCCCGTCCGAGTGCTCAAAGCCTCGTGCACGAGTGCTCCCGGGGCGTCTGCGGGCGCCCCCCCGCGCGCGGGTTCGCGCCACCCCCCCCGCCGCCCTCTCACCTCGCCTCGCCTCCGCCCCCCTCCGGCGCGGGCCATGATGCGAGCCGCCTGCGGCGCCGGCGACTCCTGTCGATGCTGCCCGGGCGCCCCCGGCTGCGGAGGCAAAGCGGCGCCCGCCCCGCCTGCCGGCGCGGGCATCGCTTCCGAGGATCCGGCGCTGGCGCCGCGGCTGCGGGAGGAGGACAGGGCCATCGTGGAGCGAGGCGTCGAGCCTCTGCGAGCTCAAGCTCCCCTGGAGGCCGCTGGGCTGTCGGCGGCTGGCGCCGCCGAGAATGTCGACCTGGCGCGGCTGCTCACGAAGAGCCGCATGCTGGCCGCCGCTCGAGCGAATAGATTCGAGGCCAGGGCGCAATGAACGCTCGCGCCGCAGGGCATGGCGCTGCCTCCTGGCCTTGAGGTCCGTTTCGACGCGCAGACCGGCAAGGACTGGGCGCGTCTGCCGCCGACGAGGACAATTCAGGTAGCAGCCAGGCCTGCTGCAGCGAACCGGGGGGAACCAACATCTGACTCAATCGATCTCACTATCGATCTCACTCAACGGGCCACCACGGGCCACCACGGGACACCGCGGGACACCCCTCGATCTCACTATCGATCTCACTCAACGGAACACCATGAGACACCATGGGACACCTCGGGACACCACATCGATCTCACAAATGATCTCACTATCGATCTCACAAACGATCTCACGATCGATCTCATTATCGATCTCACTGTCGATCTCACTCAACGGGACGCCACGAGACACCACAGGACACCACAGGACACCACGGGACACCGCGGGACACCGCGAGCCACCGCAAGACGGACGGACGGACGGGCGGGCGGGGGATAATCATTTGTTTTGACTTCGCCCTAGCAACGGCGGACACGACGGGACGCCACGGGACACCACGGGACACCGCGGGACACCGCGAGCCACCGCCGGACGGGCGGGCGGAGGAGAATCATTTGTTTTGACTTCGCCCTAGAAACGGCGGACACCACGGGACACCGCGGGACACCGAGGGCCACCGCCGGATGGACGGGCGGGGGATAATCATTTGTCTTGACTTCGCCGTAGGCCCACGGCGGCAAGTCCGCTCGCAGACGCGGACGTTCACCGTTGTGGGCGGGCACAAATCGGCCACGGTTGCGCGTAGGTCGCGCGCGCGGCAGTGCGACGCGACCGCGGCCTCGCTGCGCAGGCGCGGGCCATCGCGCCGTCGCGCGCCAGGGTTGCGCGTCGCGGGGGGGGGGTCGCTGCCCCGCGGCGCGTGCGCTTCGCAGGTGATTTGCTAGCGCCGGGGTTGCGTCGCCGCGGGGGGGGGTCGCTGCCCCCGCGGCGCGTGCGCTTCGCAGGCGATTTGCATTTGGAGGAGGCGCCGCGCGCGCGCCCCGCGCGCGCGCGCGGCGGGTGCCCCCCTGGGCCGCCACAGGCGCGCGTCATCGGCCCCGCGCGCTTGCGCATGCCCGCGCGCCGTGGCTCGCGAGGCGCCCGTCCCGAGCGTCCTCGACCAGCTGGGCGCGCCGGTCGCGCTGCCAATAACGCGCGGGCCCCGGGCGGCGCTCGCCGAGGCCGCTGCTCGCCTCCGCAGTCCGGCGGACGCGGCCCGCTGGCGGGAGGAGGAACGCGTTCGCGCTATGCTGCAACCATGCGCACGGTCGCTCCCAAGCGTGAGATGCGGCCTCAAATGCTGGGAGGCCTACTGCATCAGCATGTTGAAATACCCGCGCATGCAGCCCCCGCCAGCCTGCGCGGACCTGGTCGCCTGGAGCGCCCTCTTTCGCTGCGGGGAGACGTGCGCAAATTACTGCAGCTACGTTAAGATCGGCTGCCTCCTGACTGGGGTCTGCGTCGCCGTGTTCGACCGCCCCGAGGTCAGGCGTGCGCGCGCCGCCGCCCGGGCGCGGGCCGATTGGACTCCGCGCCCGCGCTTGTTCATCCGTAAGAGCGCGGTCGCCGCGCTGGTCGAGTTGGGCGCGCGCCGCCCCGAGTGGCTCCGCGCGTCGATGCTTTTCCTTTTCGCCTACACGTTCTTGTTGCGTGTTCCCAGCGAGGCGTTGCCGGCCGTGCGCGCGGCCGACGCCGGCGACGCGCCGCCCTTTCAAGCGGCGCTAGTGCTGGGCAAATCGGAGCTCACGCTGCTGCTGCGGCGGCGGAAGAACCGGCCGCAGGGCAGTCGCCTGTCGCGGAAGTGCTGGTGCTCATCGTGCCGCGCCACGTGCCCCGTGCACACCCTGGGCCCCTGGGTGGCGCGTTGCGGGCTGGGCCGCGGGCTCTTCGGAGGCATCTCGGCGGCTGCTGCGCTGCGGACCCTGCGCGAGATGCTCGCTGCCCTCGGCGTCCAGGGGGCGAGCCTGTTTCGGTTGCATGACCTACGCAGGGGCCACGCCAAGGACCTGCAGGAGGCTGGCGCGACGCTGGCCGAGATTCTCGTGGCCGGGGAGTGGCGGTCCTGCGCTTTCGTGGCGCATCTCGACCGTGACGATCTGGAAAGGGACGCGGTCGTGGAGGCGGGGCCACGCGCCCTCCGCCCGCGCCGCGGCGCGCTGCTCGCGCCAGGCGCACATGCTGGAGTTGGATTCGGACGAGGGTGCCTGCTAGGCGCCGGCGGCCAGCGCCGCCACGTTTCGCTTCTCTGCGTGGGCGGGTGCGCGCGACGGCGCCCTGGCTCTGCCCCCGCGCGTTCGGCAGCGGGTGGGCGCGCGTTGCCGGCCCGTGTCGCCTGCGTGCCGTGTGGCATTGGGTCTGCGCGCAGGCGTGGCGCGTGGCCGCCCAAGCGGCGGTGCGTCGGGCCTGGGCCCGTCGCAGCCGCCCGCGGGGGGCAGCCTCGCGCCGCGCCGCTCCCACCGACGGCGGCAGCAGGCGGGGTCGAGGCCCTGCGCGCGCGGCTCGATTTGTGGTAGGCCCACGGCGGCAAGTCCGCTCGCAGACGCGGACGTTCACCGTTGTGGGCGGGCACAAATCGGCCACGGTTGCGCGTAGGTCGCGCGCGCGGCAGTGCGACGCGACCGCGGCCTCGCTGCGCAGGCGCGGGCCATCGCGCCGTCGCGCGCCAGGGTTGCGCGTCGCGGGGGGGGGGTCGCTGCCCCGCGGCGCGTGCGCTTCGCAGGTGATTTGCTAGCGCCGGGGTTGCGTCGCCGCGGGGGGGGGTCGCTGCCCCCGCGGCGCGTGCGCTTCGCAGGCGATTTGCATTTGGAGGAGGCGCCGCGCGCGCGCCCCGCGCGCGCGCGGCGGGTGCCTCCCTGGCGCGCGTTCTTTCCCCCACCCTCCGCCCTGTCTGCTGCGCGCAGGCGTGGCGCGCGGCCGCCCAAGCGGCGGTCACCCGCGCAGCCGCCCGCGGGGGGCAGCCTCGCGCCGCGCCGCTCCCACCGACGGCGGCAGCAGGCGGGGTCGAGGCCCTGCGCGCGCGGCTCGATTTGTGCTAGCAGCGGCAGGTTCATTCCTCTCTCGCGCCCACGCAGCTCCGCCTCGCCCGCGCGCACGACACGAACGAAACGAAACGATGTCCTGGTTTGGGGTTTCCGTTCCACTGCGATCACATCCCCAAACCTCCGATACATATATGTATGCGCGTATTTGGCGCCAGCCCGCTGAAATTCGGGACCTCCGAAAAGCCCGTATGCATCAGCCACCGTGCTAGCGTGCATTGTGGTTGGGCTGCTAAAGCGCTCTTTGGAAAAAATGCGCCGTTCACGTTGTGGCCACGTACGCCGGAACCGTCAAATACAGTTATTATCTTAAATGTTCGGTCTCTGTGTCCCTCGGGCACCTCGGAATTCTTCTCAATAAGGTTTGCGAAGAATCGACCAAAGTGTCCAAGTCCGCCTTCCAGGTGCTTCATAACGTTGTGAGACTCCTGGGCTTTACTTTCGCCCCATGTTCCGATGGATCGGAATCTGTCCCATTCCGCTCGAAAACCTCCTGGGCTCCCGAATTCCCGGCTGCCTCTGATTTCGTAACCGAGCAGGCTGCAGCCGCATCGGTCGTACATTGGGGAGGGTCAGTCAGCTGGCCAACTGAGTCGGCCCCCGACGTTCCCGAGTCAAAGGCTCGACTCGAGTCTGCGAGTGGATTCTACCAAACTCAAGGCCCATTCTCTCTTTTTCTCGGTGCGCCTGGTTATCGGGCGTCGGCGGCCGCGGCGGCGTTCCGGGCACGCCGCGCCGTTGAGCGGCGGCCGCTTGGCTCGCGGCCAGGAAAGCCCGTTTTGGAGGAGGTGGCGTCCAGGGTCTGGAGTCGCCCCGAGCTGAACCCGGGTCGACTCCGCCCCGAAGAGTCGCCCCCCGCGCCATGTTTATTTCCACCAGATATTCTCGCCATCAGATTCGGTGTCAGATTATGGC